AATAGTTGAGGGATAGGCCGCTTCTATGGATCTGGTTCTCTTTAATGTGGGCTCCACCTCCACATGTATTCGAGCCCAAGGTTCTTCCATAGTAGATCTTACATGGTGCAGTCCAGATATAGCGAGTAAGATAGANAGCTGGAAGGTTGTTGACGATGAGACTTTGTCTGATCACTCTCTTGTTGAGATCAACCTGCGATTGTCTGCCGTTATTAAAAGCAGTGGCCGTGGATATGGGAGGCAAGCAAGCTTCCCGAGATGGTTGCTTATAAAAATGAATTGGGACCTATTGAAGGCGGCTATAACGCTTAAATATTGGTTCTATCCGCAGCCAATATTCTGTGATCCTGAAGAGGCGGCTGTCAGATTGGGCCAACTCCTGGAAGAAGCCTGTAATGTGGCGGCCCCACGCGATAGGAAACTCCCGAGAAGACGCCAGACTTACTGGTGGAATGAGGAGTTAGCTGAAGGTCGCAAAACATGTATTGCCCTAAGTCGTAAGATGGTTAAATTCCGTAGACTGGGTAAAATTGCTGAGGCTGAGAACTCTAGGGTAGAGTTGCGAAGTGCTCAACGTAAGCTCAGAGCTGGAATAGCCGAAGCTAAAAAGAGAGCCTGGAAAGATCTTCTCGCGTCGCTGGAACAGGACCCATGGGATAGGCCATATTGCTTGGTTATGAAGCGTTTAGAAAACTCCGCAATAGCAGTTACCGAATCTTTGGAGCGCGGTGAATTGAAGGGCGTTATAAACGAACTCTTTCCTCGGCACATTAATGCGGAGGATGAGCGCTTTGAATTACCTCCAATAAAAGGTGGAGGTGATCTGATCACCATAGGTGAAATTAAATCCATTATAAAGGACATTAAGAACCAGAGATCGGCTCTTGGCCCGGATGGCGTTCCGTTAGGCGTGGTGTCGGCAATAATGTCTGCAGCCCCGGAAGAGATAAGAGGCACGAGAAACATATAGGTGTTCTCCCACTCATAGTGGATGTTTTTCACAGTGAGAGATATTCAAAATATTGAAGTAAGAAGTATCAAGTAATTCTAAGTCGTTACCAGAATTTGAACCGTGTGACTGTTTTTTTATAAAGATTATTTTGGAAATTAGCCTTTTATAATAATGATGTTCATAATTTAGAATCTGGACATTGTCCCAATCAAAAGAATGATTAAGATCTGTTCTGTGTTTTGAGATTACTGACAGTTGGGAGAAGAAACGTTTTATGTTATTAAAATGTTCTTTCAGTCTTGTTTTTAAACGCCTCTTAGTCTGTCCCACATAAGACGCTGGACAGTCCTTACAATTGATTTTGTATACAATATTAGTTTGAGAATCATAGTCAATTCTATCTTTATGGATCCTGATTAAACTATTTAAGTTATTATAACATTTGTATCTGATCAGGAAGTCATTACTATTAAATACTTTGGAGATTGGCTCTGAAAGATTTTTTATATACGGAAGAACAATTATTCTTCTTTCATTGTTGTTGGAAACACAATGTTGTGTACCGATAGTCTCATTATTATGAACGAGCTTTTTTAATCTAAGATTGATGGAATCAAAAATTAATTTCAGAGGATAACCATTCTCCAACAAAATGTTGACAATGAACAGGATGTTCTTCTCGTGGAAGTCAGGGTGAGAAAGAAGTATAGCCCTATCAATAAGGCTAAAAATAGTTCCCTTTTTGTGACACTTTGGATGATGTAAAAAAAAGGACAAGTATTTTCCAGAGAAAGTACTTTTATGATACCAGTCTATCCTTATACCATCGCCAACAACATTCAGAGATAAGTCTAAAAAATTAATACAACGATCTCTCTCCAACTCAACAGTAAAATTGATTCTTTCATAGAATGAATTAAAAGTTTTAACAATGTTATCAACCCCGTGTGCTGGAGCCGCCAAGACAATGTCGTCAACATAACGGTAATAGAAAGGTAGTTGTAAACCAAGGTTGTTTAACGCTTTATTTTCTATGTTCTGAAGGACAATGTCGGCAATGATAGGTGATAGAGATGAACCCATAGGTGTACCAAAAGTCTGCTTGTAGATAACATTATCAAAAGTAAAATACGTTGAAGAGAGAACAAAAGAAACTGCATTTAAAAACTCGCTCATCGGTATATTAGTATTCTTTTTAATATAGTTCCATCTGTTTTCTAAGCCCTTGATAACTAAATTTATAGGGATGTTTGTAAACAAAGAAACAACATCCAGAGAGAGAAGAATGTCATCTTTGTTAATTCTGATCTTCGAAAGGTTCTCATAAAGAACAAAACTATTCACAGTAATGCCTCTGGATAGAGGGAGACTTTTCGCGATAATCTTGTGTAAAAAATTAGCAAGGAAACAAAATGGACTGTCAATAGAAGAAACAATGATTCTAAGACGTATATCTTCCTTGTGGATTTTAGGAAAGCCATAAGTTTTAGGAAGAAATTTATCACTGGACCAGAGACAAAAAAATTTATGTTTGTTTATGAAATCTTTGTTGAGCCAACGTTTTAGCAAATCATTGAGATTGGTTTCGATTTTCCTGATCGGATTATAATTGATAACTTCATATGTGTTTTTATCATTTAACAGAACTTTCATTTTTTTGTGAATACTCCCGGTTATGAAAGGTTTTTTAAATGATAAAAACACATATGAAGTTATCAATTATAATCTGATCAGG